ATCCCAATCCCCAGAAATAGCCAGAACCGGGCAGTACAGGCCTCTCTGGGGGATACTGGTGCCCCACTCCCCGCTCCCCTGCAAAAGTATTCTCAAGGACAGCAGGAAATACGTTCTGGGAAGCTGTGGATCAGAAACGAGACTGAAATGGAGTGGATCAAAGGCTCCCAGCTCCTGAGAAGAAAGGTACAGGGCCGGTGAGGGGTACTGCCAACGTTCAGCTCTTGGAGTCCGCTGGGGGGGGGGGGTCGCGCACAATGCCAAACAGTATTTAAAAACAAAGCCCTTTGCTGGCATTTGTAAAGCAGCCAGAGCATGGATGATCTACACTTGCTGCAGCAGCAGAGGCAGGATGCAGAGCACAGAGAATCTACTCAAAGGAGGAGAGTGGATTTTAGGAAAACTGAACAGAAACTTCCAACCATCCTAATAATGCCACCCCATGCAGATGGGAAAAACGTGACAGGCTAGCTCAGCTGTGGGCAGGACTGGGTGGGGAGGGCTGCAGGCTTGATCAGGAGAGGAAAAGCTGACCGAACTGGAGAAAACACACAGAGAACGTGCTGCGGCCAAGGGCGTGGGTAAGGAATCCAAGTGGGCGAGTGTGCTGCTTATTTCTTGTGGCTTTCCAGAACACCGAGGAAGAGACAAGAGAACGCCCAGCAGCCAGGAGCAGGGGAACGAGGCTGTCACAGCCTTTAATTTGAAACTGGGAATTGAGCTCCACACCTAGGCTGACTCCTGGGGCCTTTGCCTTGAGATTTTTTTTTTTTTTTTTTTTTGTGATTTGCATTACAACCATCTATTTGCATCTCAACTGTCGTGCAGTACAAATGGGCTGTCAGTGGTTTCAGCCCATCCTACCCTATCTTATACAACCCTTCCTTCGCGGGCTTCTGTGAGTTTTCTGTAGCTGGGCAAAGGAGAAGAAATTACTCAGCAGGACTTGACAATGAGGATGGAGTCCTTGGGAGACAGAAAGGCCTTCTTTCAAGTACCTTTGTTGTCTTGGATTTTCCTGCAGAGGCTGAGATTCAGCAAGAAACTGGGCAGACTCTTCCATCTGGAGGGGATGCCAGCATTGTCTAGGCTTTGTGAATTAGATTAGCATCCTTCTTGGGAATGACTGCCACAGAGCGCTAACTGAAAGGTTAAACTGCCTCCTCTTTCCCTTTCTGTTTTCCATCAGCACCCTCTGCTGCCCCACTGTGGACTTTTGAGGTCACCTTCTTATGCAAACTCAGGGGGAACTGAGCTTTGGCCCAGGGGCACTGACTGAGGATTGAGTTTGGACAAAGCCCTGAGCCACCTCATGGCTACTTTTATCATTAAATCGTGCTTTAATTCAACCAGCACACATTTCTGCAGTGCCTCCCAAGATGCCAGGCAGAGTGTGAGGCTCTGGGTTACACTGGTGAGCACAAGCAGACCGGCCCCTGCCTGTGAATTCTTCATTTTAATCGGAGAGACAGGTATGATTGAGATCATCACACTAATATCTGCAAAACCACAATAATGGTGAGGGCAAGGGAGCATCACATGCTCTCTAGACTCGATGACAAAAAGATTTCACCTCTCCCCATGCTCCCTTCCCTCCTCCTAGTTTGCTCGGTGAACACATTTTTCCACCACGCCTAGCAAATCCAGCCACCTTCACCCCAGACACGAATCCCAACGCCTACCCTCCCCTCAGAAAGAGAACTGGAAGAAAGGACTAATTTTTAAAATCTTTTACAAACGATGCCTGCTTTCTCTTTGAGGGTCCCTGATTTTTCACAGAGTCTGGACGTTGGCAACGTGGCTGAAATACTCCACTCTAGGAACCTGGGGCCTGACCCTTAGCACCCAAGACGGGGCCTTAACCAGATCTGGATCCCTCCAAAATTCTGGAGAGAAGAGATGGGAGACATTAAAAACAACAACAACAAAAAACCACCAGGGCAATTTAAAAAGCGATTTATTCCTCCGTCTTATTTAGGAATTGGCCCAGGACCACGTCTGGGATGGTTTGGGTGCAGCTCTACGGGGAGGCTGGACTGTGACCCAGAGGACCTTAGGGTGGGGAGTCTGGGCTTCTGGGCTGCCTTTTTTCATCAGTAGTTCACTTTGTACCCCACTGAGCCCTGGAGAAGCGGGGACCCTCTAGGGAGGAGCCAGCCCTTTACTGTCAGACTGGCCAACTCCCTGGGGCAAGCAGTGGAATGGTCCCCGGTAGCAGCGGGCACCCAGTCCAGAACAGGCATGCTGATACCTGTGCCTGGGTAGGGAGTGACCACTAGAGGCAGGCTGGACCCAGACACCCCTCAGCCTCCCTGCAGATGCTTCGGACAGGCCTTCCAGCAAAGCAGGACTGAGCTAAACCCCAAGGGGTCAGGGTGGCCCTGAAATCCCCCAACCAGTGGTGGTGAGAAGGCCCTGGGGTTCTGGCCCTGCTGGTGGGGATGCTCCCTGGACCATCTTGGTTAACGTCTGGGTGTGTGGCAGGTACTGTGCTAAGTCCTACAGACTAAAGGTCTGATCTCCTTCTCTATCCCTTGTTGGCAAGCCAAATATGTAGCCGCTTCCTCATAGTCCCCGGCCCTCTGGCAGTGAGGTGGGGGGCCACGTCCCTAGTTCTGGGCAGTTCCGGGCAGCTCAGGATGAAGCACAGAAGAGCTGGTGCTTGCCCCCCCTAGCTGCCCCCTCCCTCCTGCAGTGACCAATGTGACTGCAGAGCATGTACCTGAGTGACTACAGAGTGGGGTCTCCCTGCCCACCTGTGCTGGATGAGTAGTAATAAATCTCTGAGCGAGAAATAAACGTCTGTTTCAGGGTTAATTTGTGACTGCAGTAGAAACAGATACATTTTCACACAGATGAGCAAAGTGACACTTAGAAAGGGTCAACGGCTCATCGAAGGTCACAGAGGTCGTGAATTGCAAGGCTAGATTGAACACAGGGACCGGCTGATTCCAGAGCTTGGGCCACAAGCTGCCTCCCCTCTAGGTTGCCTCCAAAATCGAGCCCCCATTCCTTGGTTTGGCAGTCAGGGCTCAAGGCCTGTGTCCCAGCCCAGCCTCGCACCAGCCCGCTATGCAAACCCTGCATCGTTCACACAGTACGGCCTGCTCCCTCCTCCTACTCAAAGGTTCCTCTCTCTGGGCCTCTCTGTGGGCCACTGCCCAACCCGCCAGCCCTCCTGGCTGCTTTTCACCATCTGATTTGTGTCCCAAGACTCAGCCCTGGTCCCCCCTTTCACCATAGAGCTTTGGCTGGTCCTCTGGCCCCTTCTTCCCCCATCCTCGGCCAAGCTCTGGAGCCATCTCTGCTGGTTGTCACTGGCCCACACGCGGGGACCAGCATCTCTCTTCTCTTGGACATTCGTCATAGCCTGAAACCAGACAGGGTACTTTCTCCCGAGGCTCTCACTCCCACAGCAGTGTCTAAAGGGGGTGCTGCGCTCCAGGGGGATAAAAGATGACCCCCTGGGGCATGAGAAAATGTTGGAGCTCGTTTTCATACCTGTTTATCTCCACCTTTTAAACTTTCTACATTTTTGCATATGTTTTAAAAAAGTACCTACTACCCTTGTGTAAACACACTTGGTTCCATGGGCTACACTCCCCCAAGGGACCAAATATAGCTCCTTGTAAACAGTAGGTGCTCAGTACCTACTTTAGTTATCTCAGATAGGGATGGGATGACTTAGCAGGAGGTGGGGGCAAGTGGCCGACGCACGGGCGCATGCGCACCCACACGCAGTGGGACTGAGCTGCCCTCGCGGACCTGCGTCCCTGGTGGGGGCAAGGGTTGGCTGGGGTGGACGTGGACGGTGTGCAGCTAAGGGAAGCTGACAGGAGCCGGCTGAATCATGGGAGGAGGGGCTCCTGGGCAGGTGTGTGTGGGGGGGGGTCTGTTGAGCAGCCGGAGTGGAGAGGGGCAGGAGCGAGCGGGAAGCCAGGCCTGGAGCAAGGCCAGTGCGGAGTCCCGCATTGCGAGGCATAATTGCAGAGAAGCCCCTCAGGCTGGAAAACCTAATGGAATTCCTGAGCAGAGTGGGCCGGGAGCAGCGGTAATAAATAGAAGTGCTATTAAGGACTGTGGCTGCTGACAGGCAGGGGAGAGACAGGACACGGGAGGGGTGGGGGGGAGGAAGGCTGAGAGGCTCTCCCCATCGGCTCGGAAGCCTGGCCCATCCAGGCCTGGTGGGGGAAGGGCCCCATCCCGGAGCCTCCTCCCTCCTGTCCTTCTGGGGCTCTCCCTCACTCACCGCACATGTCCCTTCCTCTTAAGACAGGCCTCAGCCAGGCAGGCCCTGCAGGGGGCTGCACGCTTCCCAGACCCCCCGCGTCTCCTTGTGGCCTGGGATCCCCTTGAAAGCACTTATGCTACTCATATGGAAAAGGAGGAGTCATTACTACACCCAAAGCAGAAATAAGACTTTTTTTTTTCCCCCCAAGGTCGTATTTATACAACAGCCCCCAACTTTTAAAATATCTATTTTTGGGGGGCACCTGGGTGGCTCAGTCGTTAAGCGTCTGCCTTCGGCTCCAGTCATGGTCCCAGGGTCCTGGGATCGAGCCCCCGCATCAGGCTCCCTGCTCGGCGGGAAGCCCGCTTCTCCCTCTCCCACTCCCCCTGCTCGTGTTCCCTCTCTCGCTGTGTCTCTCTCTGTCAAATAAATAAATAAAATCTTTAAAAATAAATAAATAAAATATCTATTTTTTGGTATATGTTTTATGATGTACATATTAGATCAACAGGATGAGCATATATTCCTAAATAAATCACTAAATGAAGAACTACACACCAGAAGTGTGTGCTCCAAGAGTTTTTGCGGGGGTAGAGGGTAGGCTGAGGATTAGAGACTGCCGATTTTTGCAGGGGAGGACGGGCAGGAATGTTTGTTTCTATTTTATAGATGGGGACTTGGAAGCCCGGAGGTACCTCGCATCTCTCCCAGGGTCGGACAGCTCAGGAAGGGCAGGGGTCTGGACAGGCCACACGTCCCCGGAACTCACCTCGTCTTTGTCCACCACCTGGATGAAGAGGGGTAGGGCGAAGCCCACCTGTGCGAGCTCGGTGATGGCCACGCTGTATTCAGAGCTGTTGAACTCCGGGGCATTGTCATTGATGTCAATAACGAGGATGTTGAAGGTTGTGGTGACTGTGGCCTCGGATGGGGTGCGGTCATCGTTCAGCTCTGTGCCCTGCAGGGAGAGGACAAACACCCCAGAGAGGAAGGCAGCCATAGTCACAATGTGATCATTGACCAAGGCTTTCTCAATGGTAGGTCCTGTGCTTTATGTAAATGATCCCCATCCCCTCACCACCATCCCGGGGAGAAGATTCTGTCGTTAGCATCCCCATTGTACCTTTGAGGAAACCGAGGCTCAGAGAGGTTAAGGAACTTGCATAAGGACACACAGTCAGGGCAGGTGTCAAACTTAGGCAGTAGGATTCCAGAACCAGGGGACGAGGTGGCGTGGGGATGATAAGACAGATCCGGGGGCTCATCAAGGGGCAAAGGGAGACTATTCAGTTTGGCAGATGATAAAACTGAGGGCAAGAATTTTTATGCTAGCAGGTAATCAAGACTGAATTTGGCATCTGCTATGGCCCAAACACTGTGCTAGGTACCATGAGGGTCTGTGTCAGACTCGGGGAGAAATCCTGAGTGCCAAATCCTTGGGTCCCCTGTCTCTGCACCAGAGCCTGCTGGCCCCCAAATACCCATCCCCAGGTCTCACTCAATTCTCTGAACCCAAATCTCTGGGCAGGAGGCCCAGGACTAGCTATCTTTTACCAGTTCCCCAGGAGGTTTGGATTCACAGCCAGCCAAGTTTGGGAACTCACCCTCACATTTTATATAAAGATGGAAGAACTGAGCTCGGGGTCCCGCAGTGAGCTGGGGGTGGCGCTGGGGCCAGGCCACAGTTCTCTTCAACTGGAACTGCGTGCCTCCATAGGAAGCAAGCAGAGAGGAGGGGAGGCAGAGAGGGGCCCCTGGCTTGGTGGCTTGATGCAGGGTAGGGAAGGGGCCATGTGTTAGCCCCTCTCCCCTCGCCCCTACCCGGCCCACGTGAGCACACTGGGTGGCAGTGTGCTCACAGAGGAACCAGCTGGCCAGGGAGGGCTAATCAACCCGTTGCTGTTGCAGCCTTCCCAAGGTCAAGGAGAGCAATCAAGGGCCAGGCTGGGCTGCTCCATTAGCCTCAGGATGCAAGGACCTCCTTCCCCAAGCCCTTCTCCTCAGGCCTGGTGCCCTCCCTCGCCCCAATCGATGGGAGGGGCTGAGGAGGACCCCTGTGACCCAGGCAGAGTCCACACCCTAAATGGGTTTCGCAGGGAATGACGGCTCTGCAAATCAGAGACTTTAACTGAAGCCGGCCGTCAGTGGCAGGGGACACAGGGGCCAGAGGGTTATGGCTCCAGCACACCTCCAGGGTAGGGACCCCAGCGGTTTCCCCCTCTCCCCACTATGTTACTGCTTCCGAACTAGGGAATAGCCCCAGGGGAGCTGTCAGAATTAGAAATGGGACAAACCGCAGAAACGGGGTCAATATAAGAACTGAGTTGGCTACAACAGAGAACTTGGAATCACAGGTGGCATTAAGGACCTCGGATGAGCACCTCCTATGTGCCCCCTCATTCCTCAAATGGGGATAAAAGTCCTAACCCTATGTAATTGTTGATAATGGCTGTGAGGTGCCCAGCACCAGGCCCTGACTCGGCCTACGCCCTGGTAAGTGTGGTCCCTTCCTGACGGGGTCCTGGGCACGAGCCCCGGAACCATGCAGGGCGAGAGGCCGGGGGCTTCCGTGGGGGCACTGCTGGAGGCTGGTACCACAAGTGTGGGCAGCCCTCCCCACGGGACGAAGCTGCCCGCCACCTGACTCTCACCTTCACGGTCAGGATGAAGCCGTGGCTGTACAGGGGGTTCTCCCGATCCAGTAGGCCGTTCAAGGTCAGCGCTCCGCTGATATAGTCCAGGGCAAAGATACTGTTGGTGTTCCCTGCAAGAGAGAGTACCATTCCAGGTATGCCTGGGGCCCAGGCCAGGTGGGCGGGGGCTGCGGTCAGGCCTCCTCTCTGTGTGTGAAGGATCAATCAGTAACTTAACACGGATGCTGGCCCAAGGAGTAATGGGAAGTGTTCTGGAAGATGCGGCCCACGCAGCAGACAGCACTGATTCACAGAGCAGAGGATGTTCTGCTCCTCCTTTGCTCTGTCTCTTGGAATGAGTCAAGGAGAAAGTCTTGGTTTGGTGCTAGTATGCCTACAGCACCTCTCCAACACGTGCTTGTCTTCCTTCGTAACAGAGAGAGAGCAGGCTTCAGGCTCGGAAGCTTCCAGGGGGAGGGGTACTCAGCTAAGACTCAATAACTGCTATGTTCTGAATGCTTGCTTCCCCCCAGAATTCATATGGTGACATCCAAAGCCACACAACGGTATTAGTAAGTGGGACCTTCGGGGAGTGCCTCGGTCACGAAGGTGGAACCTTCATGGATGGAATTAGTCTCTTATAAAGAGAGACTCCAAGGGATCCCAGGCCCCTTCGATCATGTGAAGACACAGTGAGGGATCACTGTCTATGAACCAGGAAGAGGGCGCTTACCTGACCGTGCAGACACTCTTGATACTGAATTTCCCAGCCTCCAGAATTGTAAGAAATAAATTTCTGTTGTTTATAAGCCACACAGTCCCTGGTATTCTGTTATAGGCAGCCCGAATGGACTAAAGCAGAAACCTAGTTTGGTTTCCTTTGTGCTTATTTTTACGGTCATTTTCTATTCTAATTTTCTATTTGGTATAAAAGTTCCTTTTATAATAAATGTAAGTTAAAGACCTAATTCAATCTTAAGAATGAGCATTTATTTTAAGTACCTATTAAAACTTGAAGTACATATTTAAAGTCCTGGCAAAATTCATACACAAGCGACACCAGCTCGGATGGAAGCTTCTGTGCCCACCCCTGTCTCCCCGACCAACTTCACTTTATGTTTCCCCCTACAGGTGTCCCACGTCCCCAGAGCGGCTTCCCCAGCTTCCCCCAATCACCAGGTCCGTTCCTGCCTCCTCTTCCGTCCGTGTACACCTTCCTCTCCAGGCCTCCCCTCTCATCCTCCCACCAAGTGCCACTCTTCTTGCTCCTCCACCTCCTCCAGGAAGGCCGTCCGACTTCTCTGGCTGACCCTCCACGCTCACAGGCAGTGGCCACTGTACTGTTTGCTCTCCCATTGCTCCTTGTGTGTTCACGGGCTCTTCCTGGCCGGCCTGAAGCTGGGGGGCCTTTCATGACTGTCCCTCAAGGACCCTGGCCAGTGCTGGGCACCCAGTGGCAAGCAGGCTCCTGAAGGATCGCTGCTCCCAGCCCACCTGGGCCCCCACTCTCGTCCTTGTACCCTTCCCGCCAGGCTGTGAATTCACCTGGGCAAATCCCAATTCCACTCTTCTCTCTTCCTCATTAACCAGTTTGTTGGCTCATTCACATACTCACACACTGCCATTCGTTCGCAGAGTCAGCCATCTCCGGGGCCCTGTGCGTGGTGCTGTGGGGGATGCGGATGTCGGTCTATCGGGAATCCTGGTAAGGGGGCTTCGAGATGTGTGAGAACCAGCATCTCTGAGTTCACATCAGGGAGAGACTGTTCGCACGTGGGAAGGCTCAAGGAAGGAGAGCATCACAGAGGAGGTGGCGTTAAATCCCCATACCACCATGTAGCAGCTGTGTGACCTTGGGCAACTCACCTAACCCCTCTGTCTTGGTCTCCCCATCTGTAAAATGAGGATAATGGATCTACCTCATAAGGTCATGAAAACTGAATGAGTATGAAATATATGTATGTATATATACACACACGCGCACGGAACAGTTCCTGGCACAAAGTAAGTACTCACTAAGTACTGCCTGAGCTGGGCCCTGGACGATGGGCAGGATTGGGGAAGGGGATGGATGGACACTGATTCCACAGGTAGGAACTAATCAATACCCCGGCCTTCGACACACACAGGTGGAAGCTACTGTATCTCCCCACAAGCCCCATGCCCCAGCTCTAAAGGGATCTGTGCACGGTTAGGGGCTCGTATCATCTCTTGGATCAACTAGGGAAAGCACAGAGTGGAGACAATTTCATCTTCTAACTTTAGACTTTGGGACGGGCTGTTCTCGGCTAACCCTCTGCTGGCTGGCAAGGCATCGGCCTCTACCCGGTTGGTAGCTAGAGGCTGTCCTCCCCTGTCCTCCCGGCCCACTACAGGGGTTGGCTGGGGCAGGGGAGAGACAGCTGATGCTTGCAGAGCCCGTTCAGGTCTCACGTCACTCTCAGACTGTGGGCTTTGGGGAATCTGACGTGGGGCCTGGCCAGGGAGTGGACATCACTCCAGCCTCCCCCTTGCCCGGAGCTTCCTCCCTTCCATGGGAGGAAGCTGACCATGCTGTCAGCCCTCTGGTGTCCCAGACATTCTTTATCTGTGCAAGATGCTAGAGAATCATAGAGAGAGACCTCTCTATGGAGGTCTCTCTCCATAGAGAGACCTGGACACCTTCCTGCTGAGCGGGTGTAGTGGAGAGGACAGGGCTGTAAGGAAGCATAGACATGCATGAAGGTAAGGGGCTATCTTTTTGTTTAGCCAGGAATTCCGCTGCTGGGGAAGCAGGAGGATGGAGGCTTTCATCTGTTTGTCATTAGCTAATCCATTCAACAATTATTGAGCTCCTATGATGTGCCAGAGACACATTCTAGCAGGGGATGCAGCCCTCAACCAGGTGTTCACATCACAGGGTGATCAGGGCTGAGGTGGGGTGACGCATGGACATGGCAGGGCCCTTTGGGGGCTGGGTCCTCTGAGTCCCTAAATGCTGAGCTGAAGGGCTGCCCTGAAGCAACACCTCCGAGCCTCCTGCCACCCATTACCCACCCCAACAGCGTGGGCCCCGCCTCCCCAGCTCCCAGGGCTAGCATCCCATCATTCCGAATTTCCATATAAATTTATTCTTCCCAATAAAGGAACCTATCAAATGTTTAAATGTGATTCAATTGTTACCTTCGTAAGATTTTTCCTATATACCCTTCACAAACCAGAAGTCCCTTATTGAATGATGTGCTTTGGGTTTTGGCTTGAAAAATGGGGTTATCAACCATGGCACACTCAGCTGGACCTCCCCACACAGCACCTCTGGCCCAATGATGACCCTACTGCCCATCCCCGACCTGAAGTCTGTCTCCAGCACATAAACTATCCCTTCCCCTGACCCAGGCATTTATCTCCAACAAATGTGCAGGCAAATACCCTCCAACTGGTACACATTCAAATTCAGGGACCCTCCTCCAACACACATACACACACAGACGCCTTTTTTCCCATATCTACCGGTGTGGAGTTCCCCTCTCAGCCTCCTGCCAAGTATGAATCACCAACTCCCAGGACCAACAGCCAGAAAGGGTTACACCCAGGGAGCCGACAGGACCACCTGAGTGAGCCACTGGCTCTGATGGTCTGTCACCATGGCAATAGCAGGACTCCTGGGATGCTGGTTCAGGCACGGGCAGGAGGTGAGCCCTGAGCCCCAAGCAGAGAGGGCCAAGGGTAGGACTCTTTCAAAGACTGATGGACTGATTACATCGCTCACTCATTTGAGTTCATATTGAGCACCTATTGTGTGCAAGATGCTAGAGAATCAGTAGAGAAAGCAGGCCAGGTTCATGTGGTCAGTTTTACGGTGAAGATCGACGTTAACGATATAATCAGGCTGTTGAACACATAAGTAGGCTCCCTGAAGGAAAGCAACGTGGCATAGAGAGGTGGTTAAGATTATGCCCTCGGGAGGGCGACTGTATGGGTTCAGATAGCTCTGCCTGTTGCTGGCTGGGTGAGCTTGGTCAAGTTACGTAACACAGCTGGACGGCCTCAGTTTTCTAGTCTGTAAATTGGGGGTAACAATAGTCCTCACCGGAAGGAGTGAATACAGCGCCTGACATGTAGGAAGTTCTCCACACAGGTCGGCTACCTGTGCTGGACCGAGATGATACCACCGTGGACCACCTGTTCCACGCCCACCCCCACCCAAGCCTGTGACTGAGCCAACCCTGTCCTCTGGCCAGGAGGGCCTCACAACCAAAAGCCCATGTGTACAAACTGGCAGCCCCGAGGCCAAGGCCAAGGCCCACAGGGCATCTCACCAGGGCTCTGGCCTCGGGGATGGGTCACCATTTCCTTGCTCTTCTCCCTTAGCTCCCCTACTATCAACCTCCCTTCCCCAGGGGGCTGTGGGCTTGGCAGCCACACAAACAAGTTTTTCTGCTACCCTGGAAGCTGATACCATGCTGTCAGCCCTCTGGTGTCCCAGACATTCTTTATCCAAGTCCCGTGGGGACTGGGGGGCCAGGGGAGGCTTACCCGGGACGCCTTTCACCTGTTCAGCCCCATTGCTGAGCAGAAGGACAGCTGCTTTCCCTGGGTCGACAGGTGCTGTCCTAGGTGCCTGTGGATATACCTGGTAGGGGAGGGGTTCTGGGGTGGAGTGGGACTGCACCTTGGCGCCCTAAGGGCCCTGGGAACTGGTGACTTAAAGCGTTCACAAAAGAGAAGCAGCAGGTCCTTATCGCCCTGCTGGTTCTCTTGGGGGCAGCCACCCCTTCTAGGAGCTCTAGGCACCCAGACCTCTTCAGATTCCAAACGGAAAGGCCAGGGGGATGTGAATCGAGTCTGCGAACGCATGAAAGGCTGCCAAGGGGCCATCCCCACCTTCTTTCCCTTATTTATGAAGAACAGTAGCTGGTACTCATCAAGAAGTTCCATGTGCCAGGAACCGAGTGAAGTCATTTGTGCAGCCATATTACTTACTCCTCACAATAACTTAGTAAGAACATAGCCATGTGAGGAAGCAGGTTCGGAGACGTCAAATAACTTGTCCAAGGTCACGTGGCTACTAAGTGGCTGGCTTACATCTCTCTTTCTTGCCCCACGGGCATTGGCCCTGCACACCTTTGCACCACTCTGCACTTGGCCCCAT